ACCATAAGTCATACACATGAGCACACCCTGGACTTCTGACCCATTTCTGTGCTGGCTCTCTAGTTCAGAGACCTTAAGGCTCTCTTTGAAGATTATGCACCAATAAAGTGTATTTATCTTTGATACCGCCAAACCTTTAACTGCTGAGAACAGTATTATTACAGTAAGAAGACTAAGTTAAAGGAATTAGGTAGGAAATGCATGTGTTCCTGGTTTTTCCTTAGGTTAGCGTCATTAACAAAGCAGGACTAAAGATTCCTTTATGAAATATTTCCTCTTCTACAAAACATTATATAGAGAGAAATAAAGTAGAGACATAGAAAGGGTAAGTCAAAATCTGGTATCAATGGACATATATTAGCCTATGCATAAAGGCAAAGAAGAGAGAGATTAAAAGAACAGAAGAAAGAAAACTAATATTTTAATAAATCGCTGATAAAGAGGAAGGAAAGCCTACCACCAAAAAAAAATATATAGTAAACAAGGGAATTGGAAAAATATTAGAGAAATCAGGAAAAATTGAAATCTTAACTGTACAGCCGAAGCATTTCATTGAAAGGCTCTCTGGAGGAGGTGGCATGAGCTGAGTTTTGAGGGACAGGTAGAAATCATTAGAGAGAACAGCATGTGTGAAAATAGAAAGATGTGACATAGCAACCCATCTGAGGAAATGCACACGATGGGTGACGTGGAGGTATAAAGGTAGAGAGGGAGACTGGATTCAAATCCTCGAGGGCTTCATGTATACTAAGGCAGACTTTATCCTGAAAGCTCTATGGAACTCCCAAAGGGTTTTAAGCAAAAAAAAAAGTAACATGATCAGATATGCATTTCAGAAAAATCACTGAAGAGAACACACAGGAATATGGTCAAAATGCGGACAGAAAGACAATTATAGAGATGAGAAGTGATAAGATCTTGAATGTAAAGATACTGAGAAGAAAAAAGATAGGTCCAAGAGGTATTAAGAGACAGGAACAAAGGGCTTTATAGACTGATTGTCTGGGAGGTGGAAAGAGAGTCGTGTAAAATGATACCATCCGAATTTCAGGTTTGGTTGTAACTAGGCAGCTGGTTTTGTCCTGAAACATGGCTCAAGGAAGAATTAGAGATCTAGGGAAAAGATGGTAAGTTCAGTGTTGATAACTTTCAATTTGAGCTGCTTAATAAGATCATCAGGAGACGTCAGGAGGCAATTGATTGTAAATCTGAAATAGCATAATCCATGGTGCAATGACTCACAGAAAATAAAACCTAGAGAAATTCTTTAACTCGAGAATTATACTGATGGAAATAAATGTGTTGAGAATGTTCAAACTACAGGGCAGAAATAAGCATTAGTCAGTTTTGAGTGTTCTACAGTCCTTCCTCACTATGGAATGTGTTGCCCTCAACACGTGTGGCTTAGGGTAATAACCTCTAAAAGCCTTTCGTGTGATGTTCTCCACGGGCACCGCATTACCCTTATCCTATTAAGCTTGACTCGAACTGTGATGTGAGCTTATTTCTAAGCCTTGAGCTTTGCTTACGGAGTCGTGCAGTCTTTGAACACTGAGCCTCTCCTGTCGGCCCTCATGGACGTCTGCAAAGGGATGCCGACTCTCGGGTTCTTCTATTGAGGTTATTCTCATTCTTCAATAGCAAGGTTTGTGGTCTTTTGCTCTTTTTAGTGGCTATAGTTTCTTCCTATGTGAACTGAAAAGATTTCAAAACTATTATATGCCCCTGGAAACAGCTCATTCTGAATACTACCATCTGCTCTCTTCATGCCCCACATGACATGAGTTATACTAACGCACTCCTCCAGGCTGAGCGAATGTCTCTCCTCTGCTGACCTAAAGAAGTTAAGTGTAAGGCTAGTGGGGAGGAGCTCCCAAAGGCCGGCTGATCAAGCTTTATGTAGATGAGTCCCTATCTTCTGCCCCCACTCAGGTAATTCAGAAGTGAGTCAGCAAGAAACAAACCAGGATCATCCTCCCAATTGCTCATTTCCTAAACTTATTGTGCCAATCACAATTAAGAAGGAAGTTTCCCTACTCTTGATTGCCTCACCAATAGGAAACAGGTATATCAGAATGCACTCAGTCCTCCACAATGAGGGAAAAGTGAGTGTGGAGCATCTGTCCAATCATTTGTCAAAGGAAAGACAGCTACATTACCGAGGAAGACACCCTTTCCTAAAGAGTGTGAAATCGGAGAGTCCATCCTTTAGAACCTGGATGTAGGGTTGAGAGAGCATGGTCTCGGGTGTCAGATTGCCTGGGCCCAGAGCTTTGCTCAGCTATTTATCTGCTGTGTGGCATTAAGAAATTTACTTAACCCTGCCTTTACTCAACTTCCTCATCTGTAAAATGGGGATAACAATAGAACCTAGGTCGTGATGTTGCTGTGAGGAGGAAATGATACGGTATAGGTCAAGTGTTTAAAGCGTAGCTGCCATACAGTAAGCAATTCTTAACATTAGCTATTAATTTAAAGAAAGACTTGCTTCTTCTTGCATTGTTTGTTTTTTTGTTGTTTTGTGTGTGTGTGTGTGTGTGTGTGTGTGTGTGTGTGTTTAATGAAGATTGGTTCTAATGCTGCCAGATGGAAATCAGAGTAGAGTAAACAACAAGGGATCTTCGTGGATGGACACACACCAGGCTTTGCTCCACTGTTCCATGCAGTGACCCATCAATATGTGTCACTCAGGGAAGAAGAAAGCACAGTAGTATATCCTGGCATCAAGAGCATGGCATCTTCCTGAATGACAAGCAGCTGGGACAGAACAAAGCCAGGGAAGAAATGCAATTTCCTTGGGGGGAAAAAAAAAATCACAACACATCTTCCATTTTGACAGTG